TGCTTCAGTGATGCTCTCTAACCATCTCATCCTCTGCCGGCCTCTTCTCCTTTTGCCTTCAATCTTTCCCAGCATCCGGGTCTTTTCCATCTAGCACAATGTAAACCATAAGACTGGATACGTTGCGTTAAATCATTGTGTAGCTTAGTTTTGGGTAGGCGTATTGTTTCAAGCCACAGTGATTTGTGGAATGGGATTGATGCTTTAGTGGATTGACCAACCATGGTGCCATGATTAGCAAACCATCTGTAACCAGGCCATAGCTTAAGGTGACCTGTGATTCCAGTTTAATTTAATGCACACAATGACCACAGGAGAAATCTTGTGGCCCAATGCTTTCAATGCAGAATATTGGTTCAGCCTGGCTGGATCAGACCTGCAGTCCATTTCTAATCCACCATTGGATTTTGAACCATCACCAGCCCTATGCTTCTTGTAATGGGGGGTGTGGGGTGTTGTGGTTTTGTATTTGGGGTTTTTATTTCTGTAAGCCACCAGGAGTCACCGTGAGTGAGTGAGTTGGGTGGCTATATAAATTGCTTAAACAAATAAAATAAATAAATGGCTACAAACAGATATGAATATCGCCCTTGTGAATATCAGATCTGGTATTCATCGATAGGCCAGTTCTACAGATGGAGGTTCAACCTAGCTTGAAAGAAAAAGATCAGTCTAACTTTTGGGATCCCAAAAGTTATGTAGGAACTTTTAGAGACATGGCGTCCACAATGACTGCATTTTGCTGCTGTACAAGTACAAACTAGTATGACATAGACTACAACCTTTGTACAATTATATGACAAGTGTGACACCATTTTCTCTCCTGCGGCTGCTCATATCTAAAGGGCATACAGTATGCATAACTTTGGTTTAATGCTAATCTCTGTCATGTAGGAGGCATTTTAGCATTTTGGTGTGAGGGTGAAAAAGGCCATAAAGACAGTTCAAGGGTAAGCAATTAAGCTACCCAATGAAAAACCCCTGCAGAAAGGTGTCAGATATGACAGTGGAAGTGCACAGAGATGGGGTGCCCACAGAGAGAGGGTCCAAAAAGTCAAGATGGTGGTTACAACCAAAGGCCTGCCCTTTTTTACATGCATCAATTATGAGCCAGCAATGAATATAACTGCTAAAAAAGCAAATGTTATCTCTGGATGCATTAAGAGGAACATGGAGTCTATATCATGAGAAGCAATTGTCCCATGTTCCTCTTCTCTGCCCTATCAGATCACATGTGGAATATTGTGTCCAGTCCTGGGCACCCCAGTTCAAAAAGGACAGGGAGGAGTTGGAGCAAATTCAGAGGAGGGTTACCAAGATGATGAGAGGTCTGGAAGCCAAGCTCTGTGAGAAATGGTTGAAGGATCTGTGTATGTTTAACCTACAGAAAAGATGGCTAAGGGGAGAGATGATAGTAGTCTTCAAGTATGTGAAGTGTTGTTACAAAGAAGAAGAGTGAACCAGAACCAATGGGTTAAAACTACAAGGAAGGAGGAACTTCCTCACTGTATGAGATGTAAGCCGGTAGAACAGGCTGTTGTATGTAATGATGAGTTCTCCTTTGTTAGAGGCTGGTTGGTCATCTGTCAGTGATGCTTTACTGGATCCTGCAGTGAGCAGGAAGTTGGATTACCTGACCTCTAAGATCCTCTCCAGCTCAATGATTTGGTGTAGAACAGATCATAATACCAATAGTAGTAGTACCATTCTTCACCTCCAACAGTTACTCAAGAGAAATTCCAAATAAATTCTCAAGCATCCTGAGAAGAAATGAGAAGAAACTAAAGCCTGTTTTGGAAGGCGGGGAAAAAAAAACTACCGAGAAACCCCAGGGCAGAATTGGACACATCGTTAAGATTGATTTACACATTGCAGAAGGCCATATTCTGGCTTGTTTGAGGCATGTCTGAGAAAATGATTGGGTCGCTTAACCCAGTGTTCCTGTCTGCACAATGGACTAACTTCTCATGACCCAGTTAAGCATGCCATAGGGCCAGTATAGACAAGTTTGGACCCAGATGGGCAAGGACCTCATTTAGCAAATAGCAGCTTCCCAATTCTGGGATATGAGGTCCTTTTCCTGACCAATCATATGAATTGGTCAAATATATAAAAAAAGTGCTGTGGATCCAAATAACCTATAGCATATCTGTAAGAAAAATAGGTGGTAAGTTTTAGCAGTATAGTCTGTCTACATAAATTATAGTCTCATTCTATACCACAGCTTTGCCCCTATTTTGAGGGAAAAAAATCAGGCAGGTATCTATGGTTGTCTTGACTTAGTGTGATGTAGAAATCAAGCATTATGATCTTTGGATCCAGTACCTGATTTTGAGCTGTGATCCAGAGGGGAAGAACTCCATTGTCCCACCATTCAGTCTTGTTCTGCGTTTCTTTATAGCCGTACTTCCGTAGAGTTTCTGTGTTGAACATCATATTATGGATGACTCCATGATCTTCAATCCAGCGGCCTGGCAAAATAAGATGGGGAAAGATTAAAAATGGCAAATGACAGGTTTTCTAGGTGTCTGAAATTGCACATCTGCTTGAAGTGTGGCTGAAGAAATGTGGCTCACGTGGAAGGCAAAGGAAAATAAGCTGCTCAGTTTTTTTGGGTCTAGAGAAATGGAATAGTGGGCAGAAAGTTTGCCCTTTGGTGAGAAAGAAGCCCCCCACAGTCCAGGTGCATCTTCAAAACTTGAGGAACCATGTGGACTTCTATGCTGTCCTTCAGAACTCCAGCTTGCTCTTCATCTTTGGACTTCACAAATTCTTTCTTCAGCTGAAACTTGGAAGCAGCTGCACACAGAGCCCATCTGACTTTGTCATCAGGGGGGAAAAAAAAAAAAGGACAGGAAAACCTGAGCAGATACTCCTAGTGAGCAGATGTTTACTCAGCAATGAATGGGAAAAGCTCCCCTCTCCTGTAAGCAATTGAGAACAAAAGGAGAACTCCTTCTCCAGAGACTATTCTCCAGCATCTGTTGATTGTAACAGTTAACAGAGAATGGAGCCAGGACAGGCAAGGCAACATAAGTGTCTTCTGCATTAAGCCTTCTTGGGGGGCTACTTAAAACAGTTGAGCAGTGTCTTCAGATGGCTTGCAAGCCAACCTACTGTGTGTATGTGTGTGTAAATCAACTATCTTCTAAAGAATAGAGGAGGACAGCAGATCCCAGCAATACTGAAGCTACATTCAGCTAAGACTTGTGCACAACTAGTTTTCCGTGCCCAGCTAGGACCTTATACTTCCTTTACTCCTCTTGAAAGGGTCCAATCTAAATTCCTAAGGGCTATATTCCAGGTAGTCCCTTGCATTCCAAATGTAGTATTAAGGAGGGAGGCAGGGCTGTCTAAGGTTGAAATGGGTGTCTGGACCTGTATCCCAGCTCATTGGTTGAAGTTACTGTTCTTTCCCACAGGTTTGAGTTCTTTCTGCATTGAGGATAATTACAAATCAGTACGGTTCAGGACAATCTCACAAAAACTTCAACTTCTTGGCTTTTCCAGGGAGGTGTTCCTAATGATGGGTTATGAGTGTGTACTCAGCACATTTAAATAACGTATCGAAGACCTGGAAGCCCAACAGGACTAATCAAAAATCTTGATTACAGTCATAGACCAGTGTACCCCACAGGACCAGTCTGCTCTCCCTAAGAACGTTTTTCTGAGCATTCAAGCCCCTTTTTATGAACTAGCAAGATGTTTGCACCACATAACTGTTTCCATATTCTGGAGACCATTAACTTTTGCATGCTTCAACGCTCTCCGCACAGCAGTTTTGGAGGGCTGATACAAAGAGAGCTAAGACTCTACTCCTGTGGACAAGGGGCTGTTGAAATTATGGCTCATGTCCTGCTATACTGTACCCTCTATAACAGTGTTTCTCAACCTTGGCAACTTTTAGGTAAGTGGAGCCTTACTCCCCCAGATTCCCCCCCCCCAATCGCGGGGGCCGGGGATGGTGGG